TGCTCAAAACTTTCGACTAGAGTCAATAAAGGAATTAAAAAACCGAATCCCTGCACCATCGCCCGACACAACTGTAGATGAAGCAGTGGGTCTAAAGGAAATGTTAGACGATTTACACTCATTTTTTACACAGGAACAATTATTGATGGAATTAACATGGTCAACTGCTCTGGATTCGCATGAATATTTAACAGCTAATACTCAACTACATGAATTTAATCTTTACATAGATGTACTTTGCATGGTAAATCGTTTAATAGATAATCTAACAGGAACACAAGGATCATCACAATGCGAAAAACCACATTATGAAAGATCACCTGGAATTAGGCCTGACATAGATATGCAGTGCCTCCCCGATATTTCCATCAAAAAATTCTCAAGCGATTATTCAGAATGGCCTATGTTTCGAGATCTATTTGGCTCCACAGTTCTTGATAACAAAAGATATAGCGAATCACAAAAACTCCATTATTTACACAAAACTCTGACAGGTGAACCTGTCAAGAGTTTTCGTTTAGATAGCAATGCATTAAACCTGTCATGGCAAGCTTTGCGGGAAAAGTATGAAAACCCTCGTCGTCTAATACAATCTCAACTAAATAAGATCAGCGCCATTCGACCACCACTAAAGGATACTGCAGAAGACACAGAAATCTTCGTTTTTTCTTCAATGATTTGTTAAAAAGACTGCGACAAATCCAACTGGAGTCAGACCCATGGGACTGTCTGATAGTGCACACTACCGTTCAGGCATTTTCTTAATATACAAGAGATTTATGGGAAAGTTCTATAAGTAATTCAAGCAAATATCCCACCTTTAAGCAACTCAACACATTTTTAAAGACCAAAGTACGTGCATTACAACACAGTAGCCTTTCGCCTCCTGATAATCAGTCACAGAAGAAGAAACCGATCAAAAGGAACAGTGTCAGAGCTTATCAGTCTACCATTCAGACTGAAAAACCTAACCACTACAAGACCTCAGCACGAGTCACTATATGTAGTCATTGTCAAGGTGAGCATTTAATAATGGCATGCAAAAAATGTATAGAGTTATCACTTACAGAAAGAAAGGTCTTCGTCAACAAAAAGAACTTATGTCTCAATTGCCTATACAATCATCCACGGTCTCGTTGCAAAGTCGGTAGCAAGTGCAGAAAGTGTACACAACAACACCATACTTTACTAAACGAGGACATCAACCCACAGCCCAATAGCTCATCATCTGATCCAGTCACCGTCACTAACGCCACAACATAACAAGTCGGTGCAGTCATCAATCCAGCAATACCGTCAAGATTAACCACCTTGTTGGGAACTGCTATAGCAAAAATTAGCTCACCATCAGCTACGATAGAAGCGCGCCTCCTGATTGATAATGGCTCAGAAGTTACGTTTGCTACAGAAGCTCTGGCGAGAAAACTCAACTTACCACGACATAGATCTGTCATTACAATTCATGGGATTGGAGGACTCATCGCAACTCAGGCTAAAGGTGCTGTATCATTCACTCTTCAATCACTTCATTCCAATTCGTCAGTTACAGTGTTTGCAAATATACTTCAATCATTGACAACGATGCTCCCATCATTCAAAACATCAAACCAAGAATGGCAGGATCTAAAAAATCTGAAATATGCAGACCCAGACTATCTTACACCCAGACCTGTAGATATAGTCATTGGAGCAGAAGCATACGGACAAGTAATTCTGCCCAACATAATCAAGACAGCACCGTCCATGCCAATAGCACAATTGTCCATATTTGGATGGTTGGTACTTGGTCCAGTAAATGAAATTAAGGCCGTGAGCACAGTATCATTCCACATATCAGTTGTCGAAGTGGAAGAAATCTTGCAAGAATTATTAACAAGATTTTGGGTGCAAGAAGTAGTTCCGAGGAGCATCGAACACCTCCTTAACCCTGATGAACAATGGTGCGAGGTTTCTTTTAATTGAAACTCACTCGCGAGAATCATTAGGGACGTACATCGTGCAACTTCCAATAAAGAAGTCGATTGAACTCCTCGGTCACTCTTACAACACAGCACATCGATGCCTACAAAGCCTGATGAGACGCTTCGAAAAGAACGAAGCTTATCGCCAATCCTACCATGAATTCATGAAGACATATATCGACCTTAAACACATGGTCAGAGCTTCCCCAGTATCCCACGACAAACCTCACTACTACCTGCCTCATCATGGAGTATTAAAACTAGACAGCTACCACCACCAAATTGCGTGTGGTATTCAACGGCTCAAGTCCAACTACATCCGGATATTCCATCAACGACTTAATGCATACGGGAGCCAAATTAAACCCTGAAATTTCAGATGTGCTGATCTGGATACGCAAACATCGTTATCTATTCTCCACAGACATAACAAAAATGTATAGGCAGATCAAGGTCCATGAGGATGATTGGGATAGTTTTTACATCTGCATTTTCGTTTCGCTCAGCAACTACATCAAGCATTACTGCAAGCGGACCCTCATTCCCCTTCCCGCTGTCTACAAGTTGCAATGCTGTCACCAGATGTGTCAGCGACCCCCCCCCTCCGCCGCTGCCAATATACTGTCGAATGCGTCAGCAGCAATGAGAGATCTGGTGACAGCATTGCAACTTGTAGACAGCGGGAAGGGGAATGAGGGTCCGCTTGCAGCAATGCTTGATGTAGTTGCCGAGCGGAACGAAAATGCAGATGTCAAAACTATAGGTTTTTCCGTGTTTATGGTATTATTTTTCAGATGTTTTATGACACTAATGCGTGAGAAAATTTGAGCAAGCGAAGTTTGAAATCCAAATACAAATTTTACTATGTTACTTGCCAGATGTTTTATTGCACTGACAGAAAAGGAAAAAATGTTCTCGCATTCTCGAACAACATTTATTATACAATTTATTACACAATTTACATATGGATGTTGTAGAATCTTATTGACTCTAGTGTGAAGATATGATTTCTTGATCGGCTTCTTATACAGGAGGTGTCACTACACAAGATGCTCTTGAAATTGTTTAATTGATGTTGAATTGAAAAATTGCACAGATAAATAATTACTGCACACTTCTTGTCAGAGAGTGTGAGATAATTTTAATGGTTGTATTGTGCCAGTTTTGCTGCTGGCTGACAATAATTGAGTAGATAACGTAGATTTGTGTACTCTCAACGATATCGAACTTTTGATCTGATCTAGGGATGAGTGGGTCACCAAGGCACGCGGGAAAGCAAATACGTGCAGGATGACTCTTATACTCATAGGGATGCAGTAGTCTTGGTCTGGTCAGTGAGTCTTCGCAATATACTTGTCTCTAATTTATTAACACGTACTACTGCGTTATGTTCTCTTCAGACTTGGCTTCCACAGACGAATGGTTTCTATTACTTGACTTTCCTTTGAGATAGCCGTTGGCTGCCCACGCGCACATAGACTTTTCGCTGCCTTGTTCCCACCATTAAGGTTTCTTGCCATGAGTCCCCACTCAAGGAGATTCTGGTCTTAGTTTTCCAATCAGGGCGCACCGCTTTTCGGCGGCATGATGAATGTGCACGTCCTTTTCCAACTTCAGAACAAATTAGGCTTAGACAATGAGAATATCGAAGGAGTATCTCTGGCCACAATGTGTGAAGTGGAAGATTTGCCCCTCTCCGGGATTCATCGTGATGGGGGTGCTTTTTGGTCAAGCGTCTTCGCTTGGCCTATGCAAGCAGCAACATTTGTCGTACTTGACAAAAATACATGCTTGCTGGTGATATTGAAGGCACACGTGCGGCGCAGATTGCCGAAGTTCGCACGTGCCGAGTTTCAGGTTGCAACGCATTTTAAGAAATGTTTTTCACTCAATTGTTTTCAAATAATTTAAGCCTCAAAATATATTCTAGTAAACAAGCTAGCCGTGTTTGATGGTAAATCGGAAGGGTGTTCATTGCATTCAAAACAATTACTACGTCTGTAGTATGAAAGACAATAAAGTGACTGTTTACGAGTGTGTTCCAGATGTACTAACCTTTTCGAGCCTTCAACAACCTTGGGGAGACTTTCTTAGATTTTTATGTTCGTTCGAAAATTCTTTTTATAATAGCCGTTGAAATTTTTCCAATGGATACAATTCGAGAGATTTTCTTTTCACTCTCGAACAAGATGAAGAATATAAAGATATATATATAAGTGTTTGGAATTCCAGGCACCAGAATGATGCGAAGACCAAGGTAGTTGGATTAGACCGTACCACTGGTTTAACGGCGGAGAGGGGGGACAAATGAAAGGTTAATGCATCAATTCAGTATGACACAATTGGTTTTAATGACTTTTATTTAAGGTTAAGATTTATTTTAGATACTGCATCATTGTGAGTACACTATCCTTGAAACCTTAATTAAACTAAAAAATTACCATAATTAAACGATTTCAAGAGCATCTCGTGCAGTGATACCTCCTATACAAGAAGCCGTTCAAGAATTTGCATCTTCACATTAGATTCAAGAAGATTTTACAGCACCCATATGTAAATATTGTAATAAATTATATAATAAAAGCATAATTAGACAACTCTAACGACTCTGGTACAGCTCTTCCACCTAACTCTTTCAGCTAAACTCAGGCGGGCGAGAGAAATACGTATTTGTAAAACATAGTGACACATTGGCAGTTCAAGCCAAGAATTACATCACTATAATTTCGAACACATCTCCTTTTTATTCATATTCTTCTATATTTCTATTTATATCTCTTTTACATTTAATAACTTTATCAATCTATTCCTTTTTACTCTTATTAGATACTACATTGAATTATCCATAAGACAGGTGAATGTTCTAAACTTTTGTTCTTCAATCGTGTTGTATAATTAATATAAATTGGTAATATAGCCCTAACATCATATTTATCTATAGAACTGCCCATATCCTACATATATAACCTATATTCTGCTGAAAATTATGTAATATGAGCATATCACTTTTACAAATATCTTCTTAATAATTATACTCACACAATTCACAACTGGCGGAAGCAAAGATGCTGAAATAGCGACCCCAATGAGAGGACCATTACTACCTTGTAATAATGCAATTGCCACTGCAGTTCCTGAAGGTAAAGCCCATAATACACCCATCCATAAAGACCTATAGTTGCCACTAATAATATTTTAAACAAATTCGTTTGAAAAATAAAAAAATATATTATTTTAAAGTTTGATCATAATATATTAGAATAATTTATAAAGATTACAATTAAAAATTTTATTTTAATCTCTTTTAATAAAATCTCGATTTTTCAACTAGAAATAATATAATGAATAATACTCGAAAATATTGAATAAAAAATGTATAAAAATGGACTATAATTTTTCTATTACAAATTTAAATAGAGCTCATAATTAAGAATAATTTCTATAATTACTAACAACTTAACTCACTAAAGTTCTATATCTTCAATACTTTGTTACTGCTTACGAATTTATATTTGAGTAATTCTTCTTTAATTTATCCAGAAATAATGAATTTATTAATATTTTAAAATTATTAAATATTTAATATAGAAATAACGATATTTTTATCTTGAACTGAAAAATTTAAAGTATATATATTTTATTTAACATAAAAATTTATAAAAATCTCTTTTTTATTTATAATTTTATAAATTATTTAAATAAAATTTTTATTTTAATATTCGCAGTTTGACATTTTATATTTTAATTAATTTAAATTATTCTATTATTATTTTTAATTATTATATTACTACAACATATGTTAGATTTTTCCAGAATCCCTAGTGTTACGGATTACAGTAATTTTACGCGGTAAACAAAGTGGGAGAGGAAAAGACACCTGTGCTTAGGTAGAAACATTTGTGCGCCGAGCCATAAACACAATTCTACGAAATCGGGAAACCTCACTACTCAAAATAGTCGAATGTTAGATTACAATTCCGACTAAAAAGGGCCGACGAACTCTCCAAGGCTAGACTCTAGTGACGTCACTCTAACAATCAGCATGACAAGAGTAAACCAGAATTCACCGGAATCGCAAGCCTGTACTAGGATATTTAAGGAGACGCGCTTGACACTCTCGCTTTCTTACTAGTTCAATCAAGCATTCATCAAGATCGGATCACCGGTCTACAGATCGGCTCCAGCTCAACGTAAGCCACTAGTTTCGGCTATTCAACACTGCAGAGATCGACTACCGTTCAACGGAAGCCAAGCTCACTCGGCCTACCAACGCTGCTACAGAGATCGACCTTAACACACGTAAGCCACGCCATTACACACGTTTTTACGTACCATCAATGCAACTGAGATCGACTCCACACATGTAAGCTACGCTATTATACACGTTCTTACGGATCACTAATACACGGCTCCAAACAACTAAGTAAGCAGCAATACTAATACGTGCTATACGGTACGAGGAATCCTCCCACCCGTCAAGCAGTGACGTGACACGGATATCCTCCCTCCATTAGAACGCTACAGCATGCATCTCGCTAGCGATCCACGCCGTACCAGTGACGTCACACAGGCGCCCCCCACTCAGGCCGCTACAGCTCTTCTCGCCAGCCGCAACGGCGGCATCATCGCTGCCCCCTACTAGTGAAGTCACACAGGCGTCCCCCACTCAACCGCTGCAGTTCTTGACGCCAACGGCAAAGGCGGCACTATCGCTGCCTCGTATCAGCGCGAGTTTCCCACTCCTACCACTAGTTCATAACTACGAGTAGGAGAATCAAGCAGCAAGCTACCAAGAATACACTTACAGGATTCTTGTCGCTCATATTAATTGAAGAAACTCTCATCTATTCATTGTATCATACATTCAATTCGACATCCATAGACCACTGACTATTTATTATATTTATTTTATTCAATAAAGGGAAAGATACTACATTCAAAGGCAGTGTTGAATTATTGCATTGTCCCTTCCACTTGCCAGCAAGCCTCCATCCACCATCACAGGGAGGCTTTTAGTCTGATCCCAGACAGTTATAAATTTTAAAAGGTATGTTCGGAATTGGAGCAATTTATTCGAGGCCTTCCGGTCTCGGAATGTTTACATTTTCTCAAATTGATTTCCCAATTATCCAAAACAAGATTTCTCGAACGTTCTACAAGGCTGCTTAGCTTTCTGGTAGCAATGTCGATTGAATTCTCGAATCTTCCAAAGTTTGCTTTCGCCGAATTCTCGAGTAGCCGTAAGCTTAGAATCCCCATAGTTTCCGAAAGTTGCTTGGCCTCGAACAATTACGTTGCTTTTGCGGAATTCTCGACTAGCCGAAAGCTTGTTTCGATCTAGAGTTGGTTGCCACCCCGATACTTAGAAAAGCGCGCGACAAGACTCCAGGTAGTTAACATAAAGCAGTCATTCAGTACGTAGTGTCGGTAGTCATAAAGTGCATAGTATCAGTTATTCCTCCACAATCAGTCACTCGTCTTAGCCGGTCATTTACGCGCAAGCCACGCTATCATACGATGTCTACACCAAGGAGTAGGTCATGCAATACACACTCTCTCAGCGCAGACATTGCAAGGAACGCTCGTTCACTCCTCCAGTGCGCACAGACAACAATCTGTCGAGGGCTGACTGCCGTTCTAGAAAATAGTCGACAACACAACCCATGGTATCTGATCCTTCTGCACTCGAAGGTATATCATCTGTCTTTATTGAGAATAACTAGCACACAGATACTCTCATACTCCTTTTATAAGTATGGCCGACTCGTCTTGCTAATTACCACTACCACTTTCAAATGCTCACCTGATAAGCATGGTAGACTCTTCTTGCTGACATTTACAACGTCAGCATAGAATCCATTCGCCTTCAGGGAATATACAACATCCATTGCTGATCCCCATAACACCATCAACTACATCGTTACCATCACCAACGGGTCAACATATCATTGTAATAGAATAATTCGTTCTCTCCCACAAGAAGTGAACGTAGAAGTACAATACTGTAATTATTAATAAAACAGAATAACTGATGTCTTACAACGACGGCACACACTGTACATATGTATAGCCCTTCCATATGTGTCCTTACCTAAGCATCGCTAGGGCGAGAGACTAATAAACTGAACTTTTGAATTTGACAGTTCGAGCCAGAAACCAAACTTTCAAACACTATACATAACTGGACTAGATATGTTTTTTTTTCATTAATGCTGTATAATTTCATCGGTAATTTTTTATATGTTTCATTTGTTTATTAATATTTATCTAAAAATAGAGTACCGGGCTAGGAGGGCCAAATATCTAAAGTTAGGTGTAAACTCAGTAAACAGATGGTGGAAGTGAGGATTGCGCGTAAGTGGACAGGATAGTGCATGTATTCAATAATAAATAGCATTGGGATTTGTTTTAGTTTATTGCGATAATTGCATTAGTTGTATTATAATGATTTTTAGTTTATGCTTGAATGCCTTCGTTCCTTGAGTTTTGTATTGCTATTGCCACAGAGCTGTAATGTGCGTTCCATGTACAGGTAGAAGGGCGTAGCCTTCTGATTCTCTATATGTAATGCACGTGGTGGTGGAGTTATACACGTAGAAGAACAAGGTCGTAAACCCCCGCGCTTCTTCGTGTAGTGACACGTGGCAATTGCTTGGGATTGCCTTGTTATTGTCTTATTGTTTACCTTGTAGACTCTGCAGGTTGTGCTCTTGGTGGCACTTCATCTTAGTCTGCAGATATTGCCGCGTACGGCGCCTCGTAAGTCTCTCTTGTGGGAATTAAACTTGCCCCTTATGCGTTTGCAGATTGTGTGAACTTGGTCGGTACTATAGTTCTTTGTCTTGTGAGGCATATTATGTATTATTATCATTATTAAGGAATCGAACTTTTACCTTGTGAGTTCTGCAGATTTTGTGCTCTTGATGGCAGCTAGTGATGTCTGCGGTCTTTGCCTCGTGCGGCAGCTTGTAGATTATAATTATGTTTTGCTCTGTGCAACACTGTTTTTTTTTGTTCCCCTTTCCTTTTCTTGCACTGTGGCGAGTGTATAATTTAATTTGCACTTATCTTGCATTTGTTATAAGTTGGATATGACTAGCCTTTGCCTCTTAATTCTTGGCCTTTACTGTGTATGCCTACATCCTTGTTCTTTGGCGTTCCTTTTGAGAAGCAGCCTTGCCGGCTTCTCGTGTGACAAGAAGCTATTGCGCCTTGCTGGCGTCTTTCTTAAAAGCATTCTCACCACCAGGTGGTCTTTACGAATTGCCTGTTTCTTAGCGTTTCCAACCAGTGTGCCTCTTTCTGGGCATCTCCAATCGAATGGATTCTTTCATTATTGGCGGCTCCAATCAAAGCGATTCTTACTTGCATTCCCACCATGAGGGGGACTTTTTTGGCGCGTTCTCGCTTCACTATTCGAGCCACATGTAGCTGGGTTTGACAACAGCGTATGCGTTGCATTATATTATATTTTTATGACTTGTTTTTCATAATTTGATTGACGTGTTTTTGCCACATGCTTAGCGATTTGATTTGTTTTGGAACTCTAGTAGGTAGTTTTCCATATGTCAAATCACTTGGGAATATTCTTACAATTTCGAATAATATTTAATGGTATATAATTTTCAATATTTTTTGCGATTGTATTTCCTTCGATATCACAATCAAAATAAAATTATTTCTTCATTCTCTTGTCTATTTCAAGAATTGATTTTTATATATTTTATATCATTTGATCAGAATACCTCCCTACTTTTAAATCCGATTGTTACTATTTACCTTAGATTTGCAGTCTTATTCCTGATTATGTTGTTTTCATTTACTTTTTACGGTATATACGGTTTTTTTTAATTTTCCTTTAATAAAGAATTTGAGTTTTTTAGTTTATAAATGGAATATGGTACTTATAGTTCTTGTTCTCGTTGCTAGAAATGTTGGTTTAGATATGCTTTTCAATTTGTTGTAGGAATTATTATAAATAAACGTACAATTATTTATTCGTTTTATTTTAAATTTATTATATTATTAGTTTTTGGCTTGGTACAGTTATTATATTAAAAATCTCAATTTCGGACACATCTTTTAAGAACTATAATTTTTAGCTTAGTTGTATTTAACTGTTTTCTTAGTAGGCTGCGAACTTATTTTCAAAAACTAGATATTTTAGTTTTAAATTTGATATCATTTAAAATTTATTTATCTTAAATTTTTAATTTTGTTCATAAATTATTCATTCTTTCATTATATTTAATTATTGAATTTTATTGGAATTTTATAAACAAAATTCTCTTCTTATTCTTTGTAATTAATTTGGAATGTATCGTTTAATTAATTGTCCTATATAATTTTATTTTAATATTTATTTAAATATCGAAATTTCATCAAGTCCTTAGTAATAAGCTTCGTCAGTTGTTAAAACATCGTGCATTTTCATATGTGTAAAATATTTTTATATGTATACAATTTAATATAAAATAGTATTTTTATAAATCCAAATTTGAATTTCTATATAAAACACGAATTTATTGTCATATAATATTTTGATATTAAATATGTAAATATAAATTTTGTTAACATTCTTGGAATTTTTTTTTATTATTTGATGGATAAGTATAATGATTTGATTTGTCATAAATATTTGACATAAATAATGATTAATAGTTAAAAAGTATTTAAATATGGATTAACGTCTGTTCGAGAGTGAAAAGAAAATCTCTCGAATTATATTTACTAGAAAACCTTCAACAGCTAATAAAAAGGGAATTATCAAACGGATACGAAAAACTAAGAAAGTCTCGCCTAGGTTGCATAGACTCGAAAAGGTTTGTACATCTGTGAACTCGTAAACAGCCATTTATTGCCTTTCATATTAAAGGCGTAGTAATTGTTTTGAATGCAATGAAGACCCTTGCGACTTACCATCAAAACCCGGCTAGCTTGTTTACAAGAGTATATTTTGAGGATTAAAATATTTCTAAACAGTTGAATGAAAACATTTCCTAAAATCTGTTGCAACCTGAAACTCGGCACGCGTGACTCTCGACATTTGCGTCGCATGTGTGCCTTCAATGCCACAAGGGCATACGCATACATTGTTGTCAAGTACGACAACCGTTGCTGCTTGCAGAGGCCAAGCGAAGACGCTTGACCGAAAATCACCCCCACCACGATGAGTCCCAGAGAGGGGCAATTCTTCCACTTCACACATTGCTGCCAGAGATGCTCCTTCGATATTCTCTTTGTCTAAGCATAATTTTTTTTGAAGTGGGGAAAGGGCGTGCACATTCATCATGTCGCCGAAAAGCGGCGCGCCCTGATTGGGAAAACTAAGACCAGAAGCCTCTTGAGTGGGGACTCATGGCAAGAGGCCTTAAAGATGGGAACAAGAGAGTGAAGACCAGGCAGTTCGCGGGGGATTATTGGCATAGAGTCTGCGTGGGCAGCCAAAGGGCTGTCCGCGTGGGCAGCCAAGTATCTTTTTTTTCAAAGGGCGACAAATCATTCAGAGTAAGAGTGAGTAATCTAGGGAAAGGTCAAGTAATAGAAATTAATTGTCCAAGAAAGCCAAGCCTAAAAATTCACTCAACACAGAAATAAGTGCTAGTAATTCGCCACAAGAATGGTTCATACTGGTAAGTAAAGGAGTAACGCCGCACATGATTCGTGTCCCTCTTACCGCTGATTCAGATTGAATTACGATATCACTGTAAGTACGTTGATACATATTTTCTCTTCAATTATTGTCAGCCGGCAAGAGAACCAGCCATAAGACAATCATCAAGATTATCTCACACTCTTCACTCAGAAGTGTGCAGCAATTATTTACCTGCGCAATTTACATCAATTAAATGATTTCAAGGCATCTTGTGTAGTGACACCTCCTGTATAAGAAGCCGATCAAGAAATCGTATCTTCATATAAGATACAAGAAGATTCTACAACATCCATATGTAAATAGTGTAATAAATTGTATAATAAATATAATTAACCAACTCTCACGACTCTTGTACAGCCCCTACATCTCACCCCTTCCCGAGCGTCTGCTACGGCCGGCGGCAAACTAAGCTATTGAAACATTGGCAGTTCGAGCCAAGAATTACATCCCTACAATATTTCGAACAACGTCTATGTATGATAAATAAATATAATTATAACTCAACAATATTAACTAAATGTTGATTTGATTAAATACTGATTAAATAACAATTAAATGTCATAATGAAATTATAATATTATATATTGAATATGTAATTTTTTATAAAAACCAATGTCTAGAATTAAGCTAACTCCACCAGTTTAGTGGTGGGAGAAAAGTGTGAGTGCGAAGGGACCTAGTATGAAAAGGACACGACAGCTTCTTGCTAGTATCTTTCTTGCTTAGCGTTCCTACTGCTAGAGAGCACGTCCATCCTTCGCGGCGCCCCTTGTAAGATAGAGTTCCTCGTGGTCATCTCCTTTAAAAGCGTTCTTCTGACCACAGCGGTCCCATGCGGAGTGCCTCTTTCTTTGGCACCTCCAATCAGAGGGCCTCTATCCTTGACATCTCCAATCAGAGCGCCTCTGACCTTGCCGTCTCCAGTCAGAGCGCCTCTGACCTTGGTGTTTCTACTTAGAGCGCCTCTATCTTCGGCGTCTTCACTTAGAGGGAGTAGTCTCTTATGGCGTCCCCGCCAAAAGGGATCCCTGCTGGAATCATCCTTGCTTTAGCTGTGACAGTATAGCTGGATTTGACAGTAATGTATGCGTCTGTGCACCGTTAGATTTTAATTTTTGGGTGTAATGACTATTTCCAGATATATAACGACTCAGGTTTTCCAGATGTTTTACGACTTCGGTTTTGCCAGATGTTTAATGACTCGGGAAGGGTTCTCACAATTTCGAACAACCAATATGTGTTTAAATAAAATTTAATATTTAATTTTAAAATATTTTATCATAATTAATTTTATAATAAATTTATTTTACAACGATTTGATTTACCGTTCTTTCATTTCATTAGTTGGCCAATCACTATCACTTGAGGGTATCGTTGTAATTAGTAATAGACCAAAAATAAACCCAAAAATAATAGATAAAAATATTCCTAAGGAAAGACTTTTTATACCAATTCTCTGAAGTTTCTTATCTGCAATTATCGTTCCAAATGCTAATGACATGACTGGACCCTATTAATAAATTAGTTTTAAAAATATTTCTTGAATTAATTGAAAACATTTTTTCTTGCTAAAAAGCAATCATATAATATAGTTAAATTATAATATATATGTAATTAAAATATAAAAAACAAAGCATGCATGATTTTTATGTACTACTTCATTATTAGTATTATTTATTACATTGGGTATTGTTCAGGATTGAACTACCCAGCAATGAAAATTTATTGGTTTATTTAATATAATTCCATTACATTTACATTTATTATTAATGCATAATATTTGAGGGATTCGCTACGAAAATTCTCGATGAATTTAAGCCTTATGCTGTATCCGCATAGCAACAAAGGTAGATTCTCGAATCTACTAAAGCTTGATTTCCGAGAATTTAAGAGAAATTTTGAAGAATTACAAACTCTAAATGTACGAAATCATATATAAGGAGCAACAGACGACGAAGAAAATCAGTCTTGTTGAGTAAGTAAAATTGAAAATAGTGCAACTTTATAACAGTTTAACGTTCTACACGTTTGTCTACGGGAATCCGAGCAAGGTATACTCATTTGTTTATATTATATATTATCTATTAATGGTCAGCTATCGGTGCGCCCTCCGCAACATGGCTCTAGCCAGACCGTATTGAGGGCGACGACATAGACTGTCATCTCTAAAGAGGGCGCGGATACTGTCTGGTAGCTCCCTCTATACTATCATTACTATGGCACAGCATCGGAATTAACGGTCGGCCAGAAGTGTATCTATATTTTTATATTTACAATGCTAATTTGCTATCATTGAATACAAAAATATATATTAAATAATATCATATTTGAAATTTATAAATTATAAATTTAATTTACTTAAAATATGGAATTCTCACCTACATATTTTATAATAAAACATATAAATAGCAATAACAAAGATGTTAATGTCATTAAGAATAGGAATTGTGAAAAAATATTTAAAAAAAGAAGACCGTTCTATTAAAAATTTGTAATACAAATGTAAAATTTATTTATTTCTATGCAAGCAAAATAAGTAAATTAAAGTTTTTCATGATTTACTATTTGTTCGGAATTGGAGTATTTTCCAAGACTTCGGCTGTCGGAAAAGTATAAGCCTTTTAGCTATTAAAATTTGTTAACCTTCCAAGAATTCACGAATATTCCAAAGTCTTATTTTCAATTATCCTATAAGGTTTATCTGGTTCTCGCATAGTAATGTCATTTGGAATTCTCCAAACTTCTAAAACCTTGCTTTTCTTGGAGTTCTCAAAACATCTAGAGCTTTAGTCTTGCAAGTTATGCTAGATTCCCGCATAGCAACACTATGCATTATTGCCAGCTAAGTAAGCTGCCGCATGTGTATTTAAAGGAAGCACAATACGCCTAAACGCTCATTGTAATTTAGGTAGTCAGTCAGTTTATCAGTCGTTACGCTATTCAACCAGTGCTTTCAGCCATACACAAGTAACTCAGTTACACTGACGCAATAAAGCCATCCCAAGGTATAAACGTTCAATCTTCAAGCGTTACAACTTAAAAGCAGTGAAAGGTGCTGACTGGATTAAGATAAACTATAGAGCTGCAAAAAGCACAGTATGAAGGTATTCCTTACAATCATTCAGTCGCCACACGTCCTTCCAGAAGTGTGTGTATACTCTTGCTAATCTTTGCAACATTAGCAGGCGCTACAGTATAAGCATTCAAACACCACACGTCTTTCCAGGACTGTATGCATATCCCTGCTAGTGTAGGAAACATTACATCTACGTTAACTTAAAATGATTATTATTTAATTATTTTCCTTAAAATTTTCGAATCCACTCACATATTTATAGTTCAGCTATTTATAACTGTCTGGGATCAGATTAAAAGCCTCCCTGTGATGGTGGATGGAGGCTTGCTGGCAAGTGGAAGGGACAATGCAATAATTCAACACTGCCTTTGAATGTAGTGTCTTTCCCTTTATTGAATATAATAAATATAATAAATACTCTGTGGTCTATGAATGTTGAATTGAATCTATGATACAATGAATAGATGAGAGTTTCTTCAATTCATATGAGCGACAAGAATCCTGTAAGTGTATTCTTGGTAGCTTGGTTCGTGACTCTCCCACTCGTAGTTATGAACTAGTGGTGGTGGTGGGAGACTCGCGCTGATAAGGAGCAGCGATGGTGCTACCTTTGCCGCTGCCGAGAAGAGCTGTAGCGGCCTGAGTGGGGGGTGCCTGTGTGACGTCACTGGTAAGGGACAGCGATGATGCCGCCGTTGCGGCTGGCGAGAAGAGCTGTAGCGGCCTGAGTGGGGGGTGCCTGTGTGACGTCACTGGTAAGGGACAGCGATGATGCCGCCGTTGCGGCTGGCGAGAAGAGCTGTAGCGGCCTGAGTGGGGGGTGCCTGTGTGACGTCACTGGTAAGGGACAGCGATGATGCCGCCGTTGCGGCTGGCGAGAAGAGCTGTAGCGGCCTGAGTGGGGGGTGCCTGTGTGACGTCACTGGTAAGGGACAGCGATGATGCCGCCGTTGCGGCTGGCGAGAAGAGCTGTAGCGGCCTGAGTGGGGGGTGCCTGTGTGACGTCACTGGTAAGGGACAGCGATGATGCCGCCGTTGCGGCTGGCGAGAAGAGCTGTAGCGGCCTGAGTGGGGGGTGCCTGTGTGACGTCACTGGTAAGGGACAGCGATGATGCCGCCGTTGCGGCTGGCGAGAAGAGCTGTAGCGGCCTGAGTGGGGGGGAGTGTCAAGCGCGTCTCCTTAAATATCCTAGTACAGGCTTGCGATTCCGGTGAATTCTGGTTTACTCTTGTCATGCTGATTGTTAGAGTGACGTCACTAGAGTCTAGCCTTGGAGAGTTCGTCGGCCCTTTTTAGTCGGAATTGTAATCTAACATTCGACTATTTTGAGTAGTGAGGTTTCCCGATTTCGTAGAATTGTGTTTATGGCTCGGCGCACAAATGTTTCTACCTAAGCACAGGTGTCTTTTCCTCTCCCACTTTGTTTACCGCGTAAAATTACTGTAATCCGTAACAATAACTATTATAATTTTATAATTTAAAATGTACTAATCACTAATTATCTTCGTTTACTTTTCGTGTTCAGGTGTTATATTAAATAGATTAATTATTATATTAAATACACTATCTATTATACAAATTATGTGAACTAATATATTAATTATATGAACTATTATATTAATTGTAAGAACTATTATATTAAATATAAAATAAAGTATATCTTAAATAAATATATTAGTATTTGGACTTAAGACTGTGTAGATTAAACTGCTAATTTTCAATTTAAATTTAAGATTAGGTTTGAATTTAAAAATTGAATGTCTATGTTCATATAAACCCGGAAGGAAGTGGAAATGAAGGCGTGTATGATCAATCATGCCGCCCAAAGTCGCACTCTGATTGGATACAAGAAAAAACAAGGGGTTCTTACTATAACCGGGTCAGTGAACTATTACAAGGACAATTACCATGTACCACCACTTATTCTCACGAAAAGTCACAACCGATTCTCAAGAAGGAGGAGCAGACAAATGTCGATCAGCTGAGTCTTGTAAAATATTTTTCTACTTCTGTGGTTCAATATCAAATTACATTAAGTCTCATCAAGCATATATAGCACAAAGACTGAGATTCTCGTCATCTCAAGAGGGAGAGACATAAGAAAGTTCAAATGCAAGCAGATCGTGCATGGAAGCTTCCCATCAAACCTGCGAGGAAAAACTGAAAATATCGCACTACAACTTCCAAGTAAGTCCTTACCTCTACTTGTTGATTCTTCACTTCATGGCCTGCTCATTTACGGACCGCAAGCTATTCGAGTCCAGAAGCTACCCACGCATTCTCCCACACAACATCTAGTGGCTTTCTTAGTGTATTCTATACGTTTGGTTCTTCGAGGCGGATTAGTAGAATTAATTTTTATACATATCTAAATTATTAATGGTGTTTAGTTCTCATATATTTAAAATCCTTATTGGATGAGATGCATTGGGAGACATTTCGTAATTTCTATTTATTTATTATAATAATCACTCAAGTTCTAATTCAGGAAAATGAACTATTTAAATTACATTAGATGATTAATTTGATTATTGTTATAATTTCTTTAATTACCGGTTTCCCGTAATTCTCGAAACTTTTAAAGCGTTGAACTCGAACATTCTACAATGTTTTTTGCATAGAATACCCAAGCATTGTTGCCAGCTACGTAAGCTGCCGCGTGGATATTTAAAGCAAGTACACCAAAAGACGACGTTTATAGTGACTCATTCGTATAGTTACTTAGTAAGCCAGTCAGTCATCCTAGTCAGCCAGCTAGCTATTCGCCATACAGTCTCAAGGTAAAGCCACCGAGGAAGGAATACGCGTCCATTCTCCTGTGCTGCAAGATAAAGGAATTGACACTATCCCTCTCAAATCTAGAAAGTGCCACACCACAACCACAGTTAATTCATCCACACGGAACATCCGGGATAGTGAAAGGTTCAATACTGAACAGGTCAAGGCTACTGTTTATCTGTGAGTAAATCAAGTCTAAGGCATAAATCATTGCTAATCCATACAAGTATAGCATGATGCTATTATTAATATAGCACAAACATTTACTAATAAGAGTGTATAATAGATTGCTGATTCTTAAAAAATTAACAACAGCATCAAGGACCATCTCATATAGGTAAACTATTCACTACAGAATCAGTTCAAGCAACTAAATAATCTTAATTGAAGATAGTATATACCCTTCCATCAGATAATTCCAACACAACAATAATGTAATTGTGAATAAACCATAATAAACCATATTAAACGAAGAAGTGCACACTGTATTAATGTAAATCCCTTTAACTTAACTCCTATTCAAGCATGCGCTAGGGCGGGAGACAAATCATAATACGCTATTGAACTTGGCAGATCGCGTCAGAAAATCACACATTTTCATACATTCTGAAACAATTTAGGTTTAACTTATTACACTTTTATGTTCAAATTTAAACATGTTTAATTTATTTAACAGTTTAATAAAATAGACACTTGAAATATATTATAGCATATATATATATATATATATATATATATATATATATATATTTCAGTGTTCAATATTGTTTACAATTATACTAAGACCACCAGTTATCTGGCGAGGGAAAGAAGTGCCGACAAGTGGAAGGGATAGCGCATTTATCCAATATTTAACACATTTGCTCATCGTGTGGTTTATTGCCTTTTATTTTATAAACAACACAATAATAATGATTCTAAGCTGACGTTGAAAATCGGTAAGATCTTGCAGTTCGGTGATGGTTGCTACGTAGCGTTAACATGTGTTCGGGATTGAAGCAGTCCCACGAATTTCAAACAAAAGAAAGGTCATATACGCAGTCCGGCGTACCGCATGTGCGCCTAGACTGACCGTGCGTGCAGCAAGGTTGACCATAACGTGCGCCTAGGCTGATCCGCACGTGCGAACCGAGGCGGGTACTCGAGCAAAATGTTTACAAACAAAACTCGGCAAGTCCGAGCAAGTTTACGATTTGAAATAAAATTTACTGCCAGCACTCACAAAAAAGGGACGCCTTCGACACTTCTAGAAGCTTCGTTTTCTCATGCCAAAGGAAAATTTCTGGAAGGGACGCGCATCGACACTGTTGCCGGCGCTGAAGACGCCGCATGCACATTTAAATGCAACGCGCCATGAGGCGACGCTCATTCGTAAAATCACTTCGCTCTCAATCGAGCGTAACTGCTGGTCAGTGTATAGTATACTGTAAAGACGCCGCGTGGCCATATTTTCGGCAGCATAGTAAAGAGTACCCGCGTGCGTAGAAAAGATAATCGGCAGTTCTTTAATAAGTGATTACAGTGAAGCCAATGGAATTGTAATCAAAGGGAACATTACATACACAGCATCGAATACATCCAACCTGCAGTTCACCAGGTACATCTTTATATTAATAAATAAACAAGTCACATCTCTCGCTATTGTCGATCGGGCACACTTACGCTCTCTCGAACTAACCACTCGACATCGTACAGGCCCGCTAGCAGAACCAGGGCACACT